CCTCTTGCCCGCCCTCCCTCCGCCTCGAGAGGATGCTGGTGTGTCCCAGGTGGCGGGGGCCCGGGGTTGCCTCGGGGGCGGGAGGCTCCTTGGGAGCTTCAGCCAGCGAGGGCCTTCATCTGTGCTCTTGGGCGTCCGTGGTTTTTGTCAGGCGGTGCTGAAGGGAGAGGGCCCAAGAAATGTTGCAGGTGTCCCTCAATGCCGTGTTTTGTGTCCACATGTGCTGTAGTGGGATTCGGATTGGAGCCGGGAGCGGGAGAGCATAACGGTGGCAATACTGCTGGTGCGGCCGGGCTGAGGCTTTGGAGATAGGCCTGAGCTCCGGGTGCGTGCCGAGAAAGCTGTTGGTGCTCTCAGTCACGGGAATAGATCATCTTGAAGAAAAGGAGATGAATGTGGAGGTAAAGCAAAGGCTGCTGTAGAGCCCTGGGCTTTTTCCTCCCATCTGAGGTGTTCTCCGAACCTGACAGCAGCCACTGTTTCAATATAATGCTGAAACATTACATTGAAAGGAAGCATTATTAACTTGCTCTCATTTATTGTTAGGTATTTCAGGTAGGTATCGCTGAAGAAGGTTAAGCAAGATGTGAAGCCCCTTATTTGCATACATAGTCACACAGACTCTCTTTGCTGAGTCTGTAACCTGCAAAGCTGAATGTTCACTTCTGCTTTTTTTTGAATTGTGTCCTCAAAAAAGTCCACTTCAAGTTTGTAAGCTTTCCTTTGAACTTTATTTTTAAGTGGTTTGGCTTTTAAGTGGTATATCTGCTTTGTGCTAGAAATTACAATGAGCAAGAAGAAAGGGAAGGAAGGGTCTGATAATTTTAAGGAAGGGCTGGGCTGAGATGGTGGTAGATTTTTCCATGGTTAAGAAGCACTCTGCATTTTGTTTCTGCAGAAGTGGATACAAGAAACATTTTATCCAACTTCTGTGAGATAAATTGCACACAATGAGTATCTCAGTTAATAACTAATTATGCATGGCATTTTGTTTCTGTAGTGTTTATTTGTAGGGAAGTGAATATCATGTAGGTAGAAGTTTTTGAGGGGTAAAACTTGCAAGGTAGACTGCCATGGTTGCATGCTAAACTGTCCTATCTAGCAGTTGTACAGGTAACCTGAAGAACTCTCTTGCTCTCCTCAACAGAGCCCATGGAGTTTTACTAAGGTGGTGTGTAGTGAAGGGTTAAAGGCCCTCAAATGACTTAACAGATGTATGTATAGGTTGATAGTTAAGCACTGAGATGAGTTGTATGTGATGGCAGCCATCAACAGAGTTTGTGTAAAGTGAGGCTTATTGGCAGAATCGTAGGCAGATTGATTTTGTGCTCCATAGCCATTCTTCCAAAAGGCTCCTTATACTGACAGCTTTCAAATGGTATAGAGTGTATGATGTGACGAGAAAGGCAGAGGCAACCAAGGAATATATGTAATCTCAGGTGAGGTGAGCCTTTGCTTATATGTTGTGCCTTACCTAGCCATAGTTACCTATTTAATATGCTTTGAGACCTGCAGAGAGATAAAAAAAGCAAATGATCATTAAACTATCATGAGGCAGCAGAAGAATACTTCACTTTTTTTCTTTCAGAACATGTTCTGTAGATACTGATAGCTGGGAAGGCAGTTTTGGCATCTGGAAGCTTCCATGATGTTTTTATCTTACTCACAGTGAGGGCTTTCTCAGTCTGGGTGGTCTGAGATTAAATATTAAGCAGGGGTAAGTAAGTGATAAACAATTTAATAAATACTGAGTTTATTAAGTTCAGGATAGCATACATTTTGTCACATATCAGCTTCATTTATCTTTCTTGATAATTCAGAGTGCTTGCAAAAACTGTTCTAGTCTTTCTCCCAGTAACTTCAGGATCAAAAGATACAGCTTAGTAGAATATGTGCAGCTGAAATCACAGTTTTTAGGAATGTGAACGTGAGGATGGCCTGATTAATGGAGCAGAGAATCTTAACTTCAAAGTAGTTCCCAGCAGCTCCTGGGGAGGAAATGTGTTTTGAGTGTTCTCAGCAAAAGGGAGTTTTCCTTGTCTGAAAGCAACCCGATGTTCTGCCTTTTAGAAGTTGGGGGTGTTTTTGTGTGTGTGTTATTTTTTTTTTTTTTTAAGAAAAGGTTTGTTTCTACTGTGGGATTTTATTTGGTGTGGGGTTTTGTTTTTTTTTTTTAGTTGAGACTTATTTGAGATGTGCATAGCTTGTGTGGCTTTCAGCAGTTGGATTTGTGGTCTTCTGACCACTGGCAGTCTAGAAGACACATAAAATGAAAAGCACAAAGAAATCTAAATTTATGGTTTTGCTGTAAATGGAAACTATTGTGGAAATACTGCATAAGGCGATGTTCCCTCCCAACCATTCAATTCATTATCTCTGTAAACTTAAGACAGTTTAGTTTGTCTCAGGCTATTTTTTGCCCTTCCCATGCTTAATACATTAAAACTTCTCTAATCTCTGAAGTACTTCTAGATTTGACTACTAATGAGACAGCTTCTAAAAATCAGGAGCACAGAAGCAACAAGTCAAAGGAGTTATGATTGGAAACCCAGCAGATATTAAATGACAAAAACCCCATGAGTGGAAAGACATTGTTTGGCTTAGTTGTTGCTGAGCTGATGGAATGGAATAAAAAGTTGTAATCAGATGTTTTCATCTCGGCCTGTTTCCAGACTCTCTTAGATCTTGGTGTAGAAGCATAGGTACTGGATAGAACTTTGGGAGAAGTTAAGTTGAAATTACATACCAACAACTTCATGAGCTCCTACTACAGTGTTCGTTCGTGGCAACCTCCAAGGGTGCTTTTGAAATGACAGCAAATTGCTGCTTGTCAAACAAACAAGATTCTAGGTAGTGCGGTCCAGTATTGTCTGTAAGTGGCAAATTGCCTTTTCCCTAACCACCACTTAATAAAAAAATGGCAAATCTTTTCAGTACACAGGAAAAGGAACCTTAAGGTAGGAGAAAAATGACAGTAGAGGTTGCATATGGGAGGAGGTCAGGTACATGCTTCTTGACAGAATTCTGGCCTTAGTTTATGAACAATCATACAACAGGCAGAATTGTTCAGTTTTCATAGAGGTAGTCTTTTAAGCTGTTTAAGGAACTGTATTGTTGTTAAATAGTACTGCTTCAATTGGATGATAACTTGTGTGGAGTTTGCATTCAGTGCAGTGACACATGAAAAATTTAATCAGTTGATGTGTTAGATGTTTGAGGGTGAGATGAAGGTGCATCTTTGCTCTTGGTCAGAATTGTGTGAGGAGTGTCATTGAAGAAGACTATATTTTTGGGCCAATCTATTAATTGCATCCTAATGGGAGGCTGCTTTTGCTTTTTAGGGGGCTTTGTACAGTATACTGTGAACACCCAGTTTAGCATGGCTTATTAATGGTAAGTATGTATGTGAAAACAAATATGAAGAAAGCTGCCTGTCACATTTGTGCCGATGGTCAAGTCAAAGGTCTGTTTTCCAAGCTGCTTAAATGAATCATTTTCAGGACATGAATCAGGGGGGGGGGAAAAAAAAAGGGGGGGGTCAAAAAGGAGCAGGTTAGTTGAATAAAAGCTGATATATAATGTGAAGCTTGGGAACATTACTATTGTTTGGGAACTTTATAATTTGGGTTTTTTTATGAAAATATGATTTAGCAGTTCCTCTGAACAGGCTCAGATAAAAACCTTAACTGTACAGGTTTCTTCAAAGTGTTCTTGGGTGTACTGATTTTGTTAAAGATTGGTCTTCAATAAATAGTGAAATAGTGCGAAAAACGAGCAAGTCATAGTAGCAAGTTGCTACTTAAAAATCTGATGTCTAGAGTGCATTAAGGCTTCTCTTACAAAACACAGAAGGGTTTAATTGTACAATAAAATCTGTTTACAAGCTTGTTTCAAGTCTTTGAACTTACAGGATGTTTGCTGCTGGCAGTGAAGTTTATAATTGCTTTTCCTAATACTGTATCCATTTTAGGAGTTTGTAAGTTCAGTTTTCTCCTTAAGCAAAAAGTCTTATGATGAGTAGATATAGATCAGTCTAGGATTCGTGCGTGTTTCTTTCTGTTCAGTCTGTCATTTTGACTGGTATAGTTTGTTGCTGGACTCTCGTATGATGTCCAAATTAGCTTTCCTAAACATAATCCTTAATAATGTTAGCTATACCTGAAAGCACTGACCTATGTGAAGGGTGTTTTTTAGATGTTTTGGCTGTTTCTTAAGCATTCTTGTTTTTACTTGGACCTTGTAGCTGCTGTAAATAAGAGTTCATTTTTGGTTTTTTCAGCTGCAATTGAATTAGTAATTGAATTGAGCAAGTAAGATGAAGTAAATAAAACAACAGAATACCACTGGTCGTCTAAAATTTCTTCATGCAGAGGAACCTACTCTTCTTTAGCTTTACATATAAGGTGTTAATCTGACAATTCGGGTTTACTGGTGTCATTTCAAGAGCATCATGGGCACACGGTTGTAATACTTAAATTGTAAAAGGCTTTAACAGCTTAAGTGTTAAAGCAAGCTGTTGATTTGAAACACTGAATTTTTATATATTTATTTATTTAATCCCAGTTTAGAATCCTGGGATAAGGCCTTTAGATTCTTCAGGGCTGCTGAAAGGCCAGTATGCCCCGCCCGGCTGCTGCATGATACATTCTCTGTACTACCATTACTTTCAACTCCTTGTGTCTTCAATTATGGCACTGAACATGCAAGTAACTGGGCTCTGTCCTTGTTAGTGTGTGACACCCTGATGTATAGTTCAGTCTTGTGTTCTGCTGTGTTGGTTATGCTGTAATTGTTTTCTTTCTGTCTACTTTGGCAGTTTTTTGCCTGTGCTGTTTTGTTTTTTCCCTTCAAAGGAAGAAATAATAGTGAAATC